TTATCTCTGTGACTTTGCCAAGTCCAATCAACCAGAACTCTGTTGATTCAAACCATTCTATAACACAACACATTTTAATTAATTGTATTCTTGTGTTATTTATTCTTAACATGCAAACTTGCTCTAATATTGATTTCTGAACATTTTTCTCTCAAGAGAACTATACATTGAACACAATTTTATTGCATGTTTGTTCTTGTTTGTTATTTCAATATATATTTATTGATTAACAATTTGGAGTTATTGTTGTTTACTTGCATCCTGTACGTTGGAAATATCGTTAATATACATAGTATTGGTCCATCTACCACCAGCCATTACACTCTGCCTTCATGGCATTCACATACAGCATACAGAATGAATCGGAAAGAGATCTAATTGCGACGGAGTATAACAGATATCCATTCGTACAGCCATTCACCATAAAACACATACTGACAAACTGCAGTAATTTTAATTCAATCAGCTTAAAATAGTAACAACCATAAAAGAAATTTTTCAAAATACTGATTCAATTTACATATATTCTGTTTCTAGAAGAAATTAAACTGATTTCAAAAATATAATTTTAAAAATATATATAATCATAAGTAACTGCAGTCTTATATAAGATAATTTTTTAACTTTTTAAATAATTTCGGCATTAAATGACCCAAAAACCAAACCAAACCAATCCGTATCCCGTCGCAGCCAAGATGCATCTGATTAAAGTGTGGTATCTGTTCCAGCCAGCCCTCTCTAGCAGCAGCTCCAGCCAATTTTCATCAGCAACAGCAGCAACAATATTCAAGACAACACTCATGAAGAGCACAGACTACAAAAACTGCCCTTTTCAGGACAACACTCTTCTATATGAATATGCAAGGTGAATTGTCATCATATTTTGTCAATGTATTTTTTTTAACGACAATAAACTTAGCAATATATATATTTTTTACTCATGTCTTCGTTTTAGTTTTCTCTCATTCAATATTTGTTTGTGGGCTAGCTATCATCTTTAGGAGAAAGGGGACGTAATGTTTTGGCCGACAGCAAAGAGAGACCGACCAATCCTACATATGCCCGAAATAAAACAGTATTGTGATTTTTTTTTAAAATAACAACAATAGTAACAATTAAGTAAAAGAGAAAATGTGTCCTTAGAAGTGTTGAAAAAGCTTTGAAAAAAGTATAGAGATATAAGTACAGGAAAACAAATGTCCATGTATGTACAGATATGTGTGTGCATAATATATGTTGGTGTGAAGATATATATCTTTACATATAATACCACACACACACACACATATATACATATATATATATATATATATATATATATATATATAAGTTTTGTTTTGTGTGTGTAACAATTGAGGGGAAGTGTGCAAAAGACCCCATTCACATCTACACAAAAAAAAGCAAACTCACTGACAAACTGCTTCTTTCCCTCTCTCTGTGTGAGTTGGCGAAGGAGGGTGCAGTGATCTACAAAGAGAACCTCTCCCTAGTGGAATACAGTTCACAGTAAGAGCTAAATTGTATCGAATCTCAGAATTTTGACATTTAGTTATTGTGCTTTGGGAACTTTTGCAGAAAAAAAATGGTTTGTAAATATTTAACATTTATGAGGATAAAATACAGATATCTTTCCTGAGGTGTTTATAAAGGTGATCGGTAAAAATGGCAGCGGTAAAAATGGCAGCGGAAAATGGCAAGGTAAAAATGGCAACGGTAAAAATGGCAAAAGTGGATAAATAGGTAAAAATGGCAAAAGTGGATAAATAGGAAAAAATGGCAATTCGACAACAGAAAATTATGACCGTTCGAGAAGGATGGGTCTGGGGCTCCCATCCCTCTAGTTTAAAATAGGGCTAAGTACCCCGCCACCTCAATATTCTAAAATAAATATTTTTAAATAGATATTTACTCTAGTGGGGGGGGGGCTAGGCTCCTTCTCCTCTTGTTTTAAATAGGGGCTAAGTTCCCACTCCTAGTATTAAAAACATTTTTTTAAAATTTTCGATGACGATTTTTAGAAGTTTTATTTATATATATATATATATATATATATATATATATATATATATATATATATATATATATTAGTGTTGGGACGATTAATCGGAAAAATCGCAAAGGCGAAGGTTAGGAATCCCATTCAAAGATTTCGCATTGACTCTCACAGTCTAATTTAATTATTTTATTGGTAAATTATAGTTTTAAACGAAGTAAATATTTTAGAGTTCACTCAGCCTATTCCCTCAGCAAACCTTTTGAATTTCTGTTCACACCTATTTGCTAAATGTCTATATGACGCCTCTCAGAGACTTCACACTTGAGTATTAAAAGATTGAAAACGCATCAGACAAGATTTTAAATTTTACTGGCACCAGTCTGACCCTGTTGTTGTCTGATAACCTCTGAAATAATTAAGGTTTTATTGGGTTTTTTGGGTTTTTTCTTTTCGGTTTCATCAGGTGGACCTATAATTGTTTTTTCCCCAAGTTTTTCAGTGTGTTCAGACGTAATCGCCTAAAAAGTAAAATCTCATGGGAGGGGGAAGCTTTAGCTGAATATTCTTTTTACTTTGACAAACTTCTCATGTTTTTCCATTATGTATTATATCCAAGATTTTAATAAACTCATTGTGAGATATTCATCTATATTTTTTCCTTTTGCCATTTTTTCTTATTTATCCATTTTTGCCATTTTTACCGTTGCCATTTTTACCTATTTATCCACTTTTGCCATTTTTACCGTTGCCATTTTTACCCTGCCATTTTTTCCGTTGTCATTTTTACCGCTGCCATTTTTACCTAAATTCGTTTATAAATTGTACACTGTTCAATTATTAACATTAACAACGAAATATTTTAAATTACAAAATTATACTCAGATTAAACGAAAATTACTTACAATATAATATATATTACTTATAATTCATTCCTTCTTGCCATCAATTTTGACAGCACAGGCACAATACACACACACATACACACACACACACGTATATATATATATATATATATATATATATATATATATATATATATATATATATATAGGGACCTCCACTAAAAAAATGTTCGATGCCTACAGTTTAAAATGAATTTTTAAAAAATAAAAAATCTTTCTTGAAGCTTTTATTTTAGTTTTAATTTCAAGCTAATAGATTATATCTAATATTTCCAATAAGTAAATTAATTTGCTGTATTTCAAAAAGTAATTTAAATTGACTGGCAAAAGGTTTTTTTTCCTTTTATCTACAATAACTGATCAGCGCCCTGTTTTAATCATCTTTCATTTTAATGTAATTCTTTTTTAAAAAAATCTTCCAAAAAAAATACTTTTCTGAAACTTTATTTAGGAATATTAGCTGTATTAATATAATTAATCTGATTCGAAAAAAAAACATTATTTACTTTAAGTTAAAAATAATGCAGAAATGCCTTTTTAAGATAAACAGTAGTTGTGTTTTTAACGGTAGCCATGATTGATGAGCAATGAAAAGAGCTGATAAAGTTTCTGACACCATCATTGTTGTTCTACAGAGACTTTATCTGTTAAAATATAATTTAAGAAAATGATGAATGAGAATTTTTAAGTGAACAGTAATCTTAAAAATGTTGGAAAATATTCTCCATTATCTAATTTTAAAAATGTTGACTTTAAATTTACTATAGTCATCACTCTTATTTTCTGATAATGTTGTGTATAGAATCGGATGACTACTAATAAGTAATTAGTAGTCACTCGTGTCTACGCAAAATAGTCCATTTTGATATGTCGCTACACCTCCCGGAAATGAAGAGGTTTTTTACCCTTTGCTGATTTTTGACTTCTCCGAACAATAGCATGTGGTTGTTACCTAGTTCTTTTTATTGGGGATCTAGCTCTAGGCTCATCTTCAATCTGATCTTCCAACGCCATGTCAGATACATGCAAATAGTTTCTTTACTACTATGTTTGCTCTTTCCATCAGAAGCACTCATGCTTTCTTCCCTTTCAGGTTCCTCCTCCTCTTCTCTCTCGCCTTCTTCATCATCAATTCTAAGACTTATTTGATCAGAATGAGCCAATAAATTCTGTCCATTTGTTGCTGTTAAAGCTGTATTATGTCCCTTAAGTGCAATAAAGTTTGCCTTTTCAGGACTTGATTTTCTGTCTTTTTTTCACATTTTTTCATTTAACCACCATAGAGAAATTTCCCTGCCTCCTATGATTGATGCTTGACTTCGCGAGAGCGTCCTACAGTGCCTTCTTGGCTTCATGTTTTCCACTGACTTTAGGTGGAGCAGCTACATTGAATCAGTAACTGCTTCTATTGCAAGAAAAGTTGGTTCTCTGTGTTGTGCCAGAAGAGTTCATCCTATACGTCTACCATATGTCCATGCATGGAATATTGTTGCCATATATGGACAAAATCCAAAGAAGGATCTGCAATGTAGTTGGTACTGACTTGGCATCTTGACTTCAGTCACTTTCTCACAGACTAATGACTTCCTTTTTATATGCTTCCTTGATAACTACAATCTTCAAAAATTTAAATGCAGCATCAATCTTCATCTTCTGATGCATTGTTACGAATGCAGATAACCCAAACACGCATACACACATATATTATGGTTAATCTCCGCTTGACAACAGAAGAGGTCACGTGGGAGTCTCGAGACATTTTGGGGAAGCAAGTCAAGAGGTTAACTGACCCAGTTACCAGTAGCAACAGACGTTTAGACAGTGGACTGACGAAAGGTCATGAAGCAGCAGGAACTGGAATTCGCGCCCAAATGCAGGACACGTGGGAATTAGAAAATTACTTGGTAGTCAGTTGCTGTCTTGTTTTTGAAGGAGCAAGACTCAAAATCGAAGCGCTGATAACTTATGAACGGAAAGATGAGACTCATTTTGGCAATGATGGAACTTGTCCGATTCATCATAAGCAACTCCGGATAAGAAATATAAGGATATATATTTCTGTTCGTTAACTCCAAATTGAAGAAGATAAATCGAGTTATTTATCACAGAAGACGCAAGGAAATTTGTACGCTGAGAATACAGCCTGTGTTTGAAGAAAGAAAGAGAAACCAGAGAGAGGAAGAAAGAATATATCTCTGTTGCAGCCAGACCGTGTTTGAAGCTGAACTGGGTAAAGAAGAAGAAAGAAAAGAAAAGAGAAGACCAGAGAGGAGGAAGAAAGTATATATCTCTGTTGTGTTGCAGCCGGACCGTATGTGAAATTGAATTTGTGTAAAGAAAAAGAAAGAAAGAAAGAAAAGAGGAAATGTGAGAGAGAAAAGAAAGGACAATGAGTAAGAGAGAGAACTGAATATAAAGATAAGTAACTATATATTTTGGACCCGTGTTAGAAAGATACACATGCATACATAAATTTTATGTTCTCACAAACACTTTTCCACATGTCAAAATAGTAATATGTAAATCCTATCCCATCACTTTTTTTTTTTTTTTTGGTTATGCGTTGATTTCTGCATTCGTAGTTATTCATACTTATTTTTTCTTCGGGTTCAGTCGAATCCACTTGGATTTGGGCATATTTTGGTATCCCAACATAAGTCTTGGGGTTCTGGTCGTCGGATGCTTTACTCATGCTTATATTTTTATTTTATTTTAATTAATTTAAAATTCTTATACCAAAATTTATTACGCCTTATTGTTCATCCTTGAATTGTGGATCAGTATTTGTGTTGAAACCGAAGCGAACCTGGGAAAAGATTACTGTTTGATTATCTCAATCGAACAGTATTCGTTAAAATATTTTTGTTTACTAATTGTCCATTTGTCATGGTCTGGGAGAGATAGCCCGTATCTCTCCATAGACGTGATAATCTATATATCTCCTGGTCGGCGTATGATTGCATGATAAATTATTCGTCGAGTAGGGCATATGACATGCATTGATCCCCGTTCTTCTTTTTATCCTTTCCTCACCCCTATACCCAGTCTTTTCTCTTCCTTTCATTCTCTGTAACCCCCTGGGACTAGTGGCACTCCCATTTTGCTTGGGATAAAATGCTTAAAAAATATATCAATCATTCTTTGTTATTGTTTTGTAAATATAATTTTTTTAGTAAATTAACAAATCGGAATTTTGCAATGACAAACATCCTTTCTTATTATGTCTTACCAATGAAAATTAAATGAAAATACTTAATAATAATAAAAAAAAAACAAGATTTCAAGAATAAACAGATATGTACTCTCAAAATTTTCAGCTTATTTTTTAAGGAATGCTCTCTTTATAGTAGCAGCAGGAACCAGCCCCAATCCAAAACAACCAAGCACATCTGGGGGAAAGAGATTAATTGAGTAGCAGAAACACAAAAACAGATAAAGTAAAGATTTGTTTCTCTAAAAGTCAGAAGTGTAATTATTTAGTATTTACTTTTTAATATTTATTGTTTTAAAAACTTTATTTTAAAACACGAATATGTTCAGCGGGTTATTTAAATAACCCGCTGAACTGTTGGAAATAAATAAATTGTTATTAAATATTTCTGTCCTTATTAGCTTAGTTTCATTACCAACTTTCATAACGCCGTAAGGTTAAAAAAAAGTATACACTGGCAAAATAATGAGGTGTTAGTTACTGTGCCTAAAAAAATGAATTGTTAGTCAGTTCTCTGGAGAATAAGTTAATGTTTAATGCAAGTATGGAATTAACACATTAATTCCATCTACATTTTACGCGCGCGCGAGTTTTCCTCCCTTCCTTTCACACTCGTGCGTGTGTGCGCGCGGTTTGCACCCCTTCCTTCCTCTCGCAGCTAGACGTAGCAGTAATCTGGAGGAGGAACTTCGCTAGCTCCTACTGATGAAGTCAGCCTAACAGATTTTGAATTTTTTCCCGCGCGTTTGTCGGCGTCTCAAACGAACAGCGTTTGCAAGCCAGCTGCCTCCCGACTTTCGACCTAACTAGACGGGCAACTCATTTATTCCGTGCCCTTAACCCATATGCGGGCCGGAATATCTTAATTTCAACAATGTCGACCTCACACTGTACCAAGACTTCTTCTCGTCTTGAAGCTGCCCGCAGGTCAGACCTTCTCCGTTTTCGACCAGAAGACGTTCGAGACACACGACACAGTCGTGAGCAAAACTTCGTATTCAACAAGTGGCTTATTTTTATCCCTCGTCAGTCAACCTTAAATACAGACAGGGATCTCTTACTGACGAACAGATATTCTTCGTCCCTTCTGGACTCGCCATAAGTAACTTCTCATAGATGATGCAACCAACTGCAAATAACTCTTCGTCCTTTTGGCTAGACGTCCACAGCAATCCGTTAAAGTTTTCAACAGTTAATTCAAGGCTCGACCAAACTCTGAGACGACTGAACTTTCTCTCTACTCTGAACCTGAACATAAAAAAAGATAAAATCACACACACTTACAACGCCAAAAATCCACAGTGAGTACTCCTTTCTATCTGTGCGCACCTACACCTCTGTTAACGAGTTCCTTTTTCCAGAACCTTATAAAAGACCTTTTTTTCCCGCCTTGTTCATCTTGCTTTCCAATTTTGGCGCGGAACATTTTCTTTAATCTCGTACCAAGAGATACCTACTTGTTGTTTCCATCTAATAAAAATGACACATGTTTTACATCCAGACGCCTTTGTCATTTTATTCCGGCTATCTCTTTGTTTATAATTTATGCACTCGTTGATTGACCCCTTTCCTCTCACTGTTCATTCATGCATTTTTCTTTTTATACATTGTTTGTGGACTCGGTAGTTTAGTGTAGTGTCTGGCACAAGGCCACTTTGTAATAAACCAGCACTTCACGCTGCCGGGTCTGCAACACAAGTATCAGGAGTGGACATTTTTTATAAAATTTTAATGATTTTTAATACAAATGTTCAGGTATTTTTTATTACGACCATTGCTATGGATTAAATTTTAGATTATTATATTGAATATAAGAATGAAATAAAAGTGATAAGCAGAAAAATGTATAAGAAAAAAGCGATAGTAAATTTTAAAAATTGAATTTAAGAAAAGATTTAAACAATCATTGGCTGTATAGGGTACACTTCCGTAATTATTTACTTCTATTTTTTCATTATAAGATGCGAATGGGTCACGAATGTGTCTAGCTAAGTTTGGAATAGTTAAAAAATTATCAACCAAAAAAGGTTGAAAACTTTTTAACTATCACAACCCCACTTTCAATCCCAATTTCTATTACAACCCCACTTTCAGTCTTGTGCTAAATTGTATCGTAGTACATCTTTTCCTTTATCTCTTTGCGTAGTAATAGTCGTAGTACAGTTCTCTATGTCCGGAATAGCAACCGGGTTTGCTAGGCATATAGCCCACCCATGTTCGCCAGTTGTTCTCTATTTATACTTGTTTATCTAATTTGCATACAATATTACACCTCCCTGAATCAGAGAAGTCGTATACCCTTGTTTTTTTTCTTTTACTATTCCTGATTACTTTCGTATTGTGCTGTCTTTCCTCTTGTTTTTCTTGTTTTCTCTTTAATGGTGACTCGGTCTCTCTTCATTTTCTTCATCATGTTTGGCTGTCTTTCATTCTCACTTTCTTCCATTTCCGGTTCTGTTCTACTTTTGTAACTTTCTGTCTCTTTTTGCTCTTGATCTTCCATTTCTATGTCATTCAGTTCGTTTCTGCTTCTGAACTGAACTGCATGTGCCAGTATATGTTGTCCCTTTTTTCAAGTATAGCTGTGTTATGTCCTCTTTGAATCATTAGCCTCTTTATACTTTCTATACCATACCTTTTCTTTCATTGCAAAAGATATGGTTATGTGGGTTCTGATTTGTCTTCTCATTAATGCCAAAATACTCAGCTTTCTTCTCGCATGTGGAATGGATCTATAACTGACGAGTATTTTTGGTAGATACGCTTCTATTCTTTCATTAATTGGTGAGAATGCTTTTATTCTCATTTCTACCATTCTTTCCGCAATACCATTAGATTGTGAGTGATATGGTGATGTCTTCTATGGGATGCATCCAGTCTGTTTTAACCACACACATAAGTTCTCATCGCAAAATTCGGGTGCATTGTCAATGACTATTGTTTGGGGTACTCCATTCCTTGAAAATATATTTCTTAGTACTTATTTTATTGTGGTGGCTTTTCTGTCTTTTACTTTGACAACTTCTTGCCACCCTGAATATGAGTCCACTAATATTAAGAACAATCTTTGATATGTGCGTGATCCCATGGCTCTGCTTCCGTGGACCATGAGTGAATTTTTGCTTGCTTAAAGTTTGTTTGTTTTTTTTTCTGCACATTTTGGGCATCTCTTTATGTATTCCTCTACATCTTTAGAATATCTTGGCCTCCAGTCTTGTAACTGTAGTCTTCTTTGTGTTGCTGTTATGCCACAATGCACGTCATCATGTACTCCTTTTAATATGTCCTCTCTCAGTATTTGTGGAGCTACTCTTATATCCCCACTGCATATTATGACATTTTCTATAATTAGTTTGTGCTTCGTTTCTTTAAAGGGTCACTCTGCCATCGAACAATTTCTCCATATATTATTCTGTTTAATATTGGGTCTTGCTTTGTTTCTATTTTGAGTCTATTTAGAGGAACAACATCCATTTCTACCCAGTGCATTATCTTCAGTATTTTCCTGTTTTTCTTCTGTTTCACTCTTGAACTGTAAAGCGTCTACGATAGTATTCCCTTTTACATATGCTATGTCAAAATCGAATGTCATGATTTTTACAATTCATCTTAAAATTCTTGACGATGTGATTTTGGCAGTTCTTTTCTCGTGTTCCATACAATCGCTAGTGCTTCTTTTTCATAATTCGAATAGTTAGTTTCTGCTGACGTTAACCTTCTTGATATGTACATGATTGGGTGTTCTTCTTGTGATAGGATAGCAGCAATCGCCTTTTCACTCGCGTATATAGCATTACTTCTTTTTGTGAATAAAAAAAAATTATTATTGGTTTGTTTGTTGCAGAATTTATGCTAAGTAAGATGTGTCAGAAGGTGAAATTGTGTGAAGGCCTAAAATGTGCGTGTACATTATGCATTTATCCACAACAAATAAATTAAACGAACATATAAAGACAATACAACTTGAAGAAATCAAGGAAAAAAACAACGTAGTTATAGATTTCAACAACAACATGAATTTATATATATATTTGACATACACAAAGTGATGATAGGTTGCTTGTTAAACGTGGCAAGTGAGATAAGATTGCAAAGAATGTCCATGCAGAGATTTGGTGAATGAATGTTGATGGTTTAAGTTTGTTTGTGAAATTAAAACAGTTTGATTTCTGCAAGGTAAAATGTCAATCGTGTG